CTGTCTTTGTGTATTAGTTTTTGCTAGATATATTTGGTGTAGCACTTTAGCATTAGCCTCCGTTAAATGCCATGTTGGTGTAGTCATGCTTTAGTGGCAGTGGAAGTTAGTAATGTTTATTATTATTAGTGCTTTGGGCTAGCATAACTACAGTTTTAGTTAGCGGTGCTCACCGCTGGACAAATGGGCTTTGACAATCCTGGTACTGTTCATCCAGCAACATGCAGTTCATGATTTACTTTAGCTTTGATGGTTCCTGAACGTTGTCAGAAATAGTTGTCAAATAGTTGAAGTTGGATGTTTCAACAGAAAAATGGTCCCAAATAAATCTTTTAGTAGAAATGTCACGTTGAAAAAACAGTTAAAATGTGTGTATTTTTACATGGCAGTTGTGATGGAAACAATTTATACCACAAGTGAATATGAAATCTTACATAGGAGTGAATAAAGCTGGCTGATTATTAGCTAACAGAATGAACTCCCCCTCAGCAGTATTAAAATTTGAAGAAATCTGCATCACAGCATCACTGTTCCAGGAAACCAACCAGTTTTTCTTCTGCTGAGATGAGGAGTAAAAAAATGCCAGCAGCTCATTGATGCTGACATGAGTGTGTGATTTACCCAGACATAGCTGGGGGTGTGTGCTTATCTTGCAGCCTGTAGTTGTGCGTGTTAAGTTATGTAATTTTAGCCATTAAAGTAGTTCTGCATTTGAACGCATCATGTTTCACCGTTTCTCCCCCAGGGCGAGCTGAGGATCAGCGTCCTCCCCACCTACCTGTCCTACGACGCCCCCTGGCCCGTCAGGAAGATCCCCCTCAGGTGCACAGTGCACTATGTCTCCTACCACGTGGAAAGCAAGGTAAGGCTCCTTGGCGTCGAGCGCTTCTTCGGTGCGAATTCAACTCATGAAACCCTCCCCAGTATTTCACGCCTCCGCCTCAGTAAGACGAGGCAGAATAAAACCACTCGGGTCGAGCTGCTTTGAAAAGATCGACATGAAAGGCTTCTGGCCTTGAAGTTTTCTTAAAGCAAAAAAGGGAGGAAGAAAGAAAAAAAAAATCAATGCGAGCGACTCTGAAGGGATTATTCTTTGATGCTACAGTTTTTGTTTTTTTTCTTCTTCCCTTCTGTTGGATTTCAGGTGTACGCTGTGTGCACAAGTGTGAAAGAGCTGTGCACTCGCATCCCTCGAATGACGGGAGAGGAAAAGGAGTTTGAAACCATCGAGAGAGGTCGGAGAAAACACACAATTTCTGTCGGTTTAATCATCCAGTGAACTTTAAGCTTTAAGCTCTCATGAGCTGGCGTTGAAAGCAGATGAGGAACGTTGGGTAGAAATCAGCGCGCTGACGCCGTTTCTCCTGATCCCCTCTGCAGACGAGCGCCACATTAACCCGCAGCAGGAGAAGTTCTCCATCCAACTCATCTCTCCTGTCAGCTGGGAGACCATTCCCAACACAAGGTAAAAACATCTCGGCACGGCTCTGCTGCCTCAGGCAGGCAGAGGACAATGAATTCAGTCTCACTTGGTTGCTTGTCTTTATTTCGGTCAGGGCAGCTGGAACCAGGAAGTAGTTTCTCCTGGTCTCAGCTCATTTAGAAACTCTGCCGGCAGTAATTAAAACCGCGACTGCTTCACCTCAAGGTTAATAAAGTAACATTGATTTGCTGCGCATTCACACTCTACTGTGCAAAAAAAGAGGTGAAGTTACACATTTACTTCTCTCTTGGTTTTCATTGATGTTTGTTTGCTGAGTGACTGAACTCGTCACCTGCAGATCATGTCGGCCTTAAGCAATTCTCCTATCAACAAATCCATCTTGTGAAAAACCATTTGAGACTTTTAAAGCAGAATAAAAGATTCTAGTGGTTTTTAATTATTTTTTGCGTAACAATTTTTTCCTTTTTTGAACATCAGTAGGAATGTTCACATGTAAAGCAGAAACACAAAACAAAGTTACCGCTTCCCCACCCAACTCTAATCAAACTGAACTTAATGGACGCCAATAAAAACAAAAAAAAGTTCAGAAAAAACTAACAAATTGAAAAAAAAGAAGAACTTCTATGCGCATATATACAAAGTGTTTAGAGGGGGACAGATGTTTGTGCTGGGCTTCAAGGAATGAAGGCTCTGAGTCCAGAGCTTATTCGTTCAAGATCACTTTGTTGATCTTGAAATTATTTTGTCCAAGTAACACAAAATACAGTAAACTATTAGACTGAAATAGAGTATTTCAGTGAACAGTTAGCCAAAGAGGCAGATGTGCAATCTGCCATAGACAGTGCAGTTCATGAGTTACTGACTGTCGGAGTTGTGTATTCTGATGGCTGTCAGGATAAGCAACCAAAACTACCCCCTGGCTCAGCTGCTCTCATCCCCAGCCAGGACGTAGTGAAGGAGGCGGCTGTTACTGATCGGGATGCTCTGTGCCAGCCTTCAGCAGAGCCTCTTAAAGACTGTGTTGACTTCCAGTGTTCTCCTTTCATTCGCTACTGACGCGAATGAAATTATAATCCTGTGTTTATTCCGTAACCGTTTGCTTTATGTTTTTGACAACTACTACACCGTATTAACGTTTACACTGTAGTATGCTAAATAATATACTATAATAGTCGAGCCTTGTCAGAGCGCCATCCCGGATGTCCTGCCCCATCTCCTCTGATCTTATTCTCAAAAAACAAGCATTAAAATTTATCTCTGAGATCCGACATTCGGAGTTGAAAGGTATTCCGAACACTTTTACCTTCTCATCTCCTTCAGGATCGACCTGGAAGAGTGGGAACATGTAACCTGCATGAAGACGGTGGCCTTGAGGAGTCAGGAGACGGTATCGGGACTGAAAGGCTACATCGCAGCGGGAACCTGTGTGATGCAGGGGGAGGAGGTCACCTGCAGGGGCAGGGTGAGCGGCTCATACCTCTGCAGACTCAACTTTGATGCCGCATGGCTTTTGTTTCTCTCACAGCATCTGTTTGTGTTCAGATCCTGATCCTGGACGTGATAGAGGTGGTCCCAGAGCCAGGCCAGCCCCTCACCAAGAACAAGTTTAAGGTGCTATATGAGAAGGAGCAGAAGGGACCAGTGACAGCCCTGTGCCACTGTCATGGGTACCTGGTGTCAGCCATTGGGCAAAAGGTCGCAAAAACACACAGAGAAGACAGAGCTGTAGAGTTTCAAATAGTAGAAACAAGGGTGACGATGACGTCCATGTTCCCTGTAGATCTTCCTCTGGGCCCTGAAGGACAACGACCTGACAGGCATGGCCTTCATCGACACGCAGCTCTACATCCACCAGATGATCAGCATCAAGAACTTCATCCTGGCAGCGGATCTGATGAAGAGCATCTCTCTGCTCCGCTACCAGGAGGAGAGCAAGACGCTATCGCTCGTCAGCAGGGTGAGCCGGGACTCTTCCTCACAGCTCAGCTGAACAAAGACGCAAAGACGACGGGTTCCAGAGCTTTATGTCTGCAACTTCGGACCTGCTGTGATGTTTGAATGTTCCACGTCAAAAGCCTCGTGTAGAATTCTCAAAATATGTCATCGACCTTTCTATGTCTACTTCTAGTACCTGGATCTTCAGGTCTTAAATAGCACAGAATTCTGAGATGAGAAATGTGTTGGAACTCTGCTTTGGATCTCAGGGCTTTGTAGAGAATCTTATTTACTGGAGGGTCTGCAGCTCAACATGATGAAGTAAAGCCCGAGTCTGTCTGCTTAGAGAGTTCGGCTTCATTGGAACGGTTAAGAGCAGCTGCAACAGTAGAGAATAATTATCTGTTGCTTTGTTAAATTGAGCCCGATTCATTTTGTCTGAATAGGACGCGAAGCCTTTGGAAGTCTACAGCATTGAGTTCATGGTGGATAACAACCAGCTTGGATTCCTGGGTAAAATTCCTATCGACCTGGAGATAACAGAACCCTCGAATGTTCTGCGTCGCAATCCTTTTGATTTATTTTTTTTCCCTTCCCCGTTTTTACAGTGTCCGATCGAGACAAGAACCTGTTCGTGTACATGTACTTACCTGAAGGTGGGTCGGCGCGGCCTGATCTGAATCTCCAGAACCTCGGTAAATAAAAGCGCTAAGTCTTGACTTGTGTTTGCAGCCAAAGAGAGCTTCGGAGGAATGCGCCTGCTGAGGCGAGCCGACTTCAACTCCGGCGCGCACGTCAACACGTTGTGGCGGATGCCGTGCCGCGGGTCGCTGGACTCCGGCAGCAAGAAGGCTCTCACCTGGGACAACAAGCAGATCTCGTGGTTTGGTAAGACGCCACTCATCCTGCAAGGTTTTCATGTCTCTTTCATCGTCTCTTCGCTAACATAAAAACATCGGTTCCTGCAGCGACGCTGGACGGAGGGATTGGCCTGCTGCTTCCCATGCCGGAGAAGACGTACCGTCGCCTGCTGATGTTGCAGAACGCCCTCAACACTTTGCTGCCCCATCATGCCGGTCTCAACCCAAAAGCCTTCAGGTTTGTTTGTTTTTTTTTTTTAAATCTTCAGCAATCTGTAATAAAACTAATTTCACTTCCCCTTTCCTGCCGTTGTTCAGAATGATGCACTGCGACAGACGGAGTCTTCAGAACGCCGTGAGGAACGTCCTGGACGGAGAACTCCTCAGCAAGTACGTGTACCTCAGCACCATGGAGCGCAGCGAGCTGGCCAAGAAGATCGGCACCACGCAGGACATCGTGAGTTCGCTTCTGATCAAACAGGTTTTCCTGTCTTTTATTTTTTTCACCTGTTCCTTTTGTCTCTTTTCGCAGATCATGGACGATCTTCTGGAAATCGACAGAGTAACCGCTCATTTCTGAGCGTTCTCACATTCCCGTCGGCTCCAAACGCTGGCCGTGTTCTCGATGCAGACACCATTTTTTGTGTTGTTTTTCTTTTGTTATTCAGAAGTCCACCTTGTTTTCCTAGAATATTTTGTATTAAAAAAATGAGAAGAAAACATTTGGTTTGAGTCGTTATCATCGATCAAAGACAACGCAATGGAGAGGTAGAACATTTTATTGTCACGTAAAAAAAAAAACAAAAAAACAAGCATTCTATTTAGTGGATTGTTCCTTTAGCCTTCATTGAGAGCTCTGCTGGCTCTCTATCCGGTAGTTTCACACTTCTTCAGCTCACAGACAAATCAGTTTAAAATGCAAAGATCGAGTTCGACTAGATGACCACAGGAGAACCAGGAAGTCGGCCCAGATTTACGTCATTTTGGGAGATCGGTGATCGGCCGAAAATGAAAGTCATCCAGGTCGCGTCTCAACGTGTGCAATTAACAATACTCACAATTATTGTCGACTTGGCCACTTTTCAGGAAAAGAAAAAGAAAAAAAGATCAGCCAGAAACAGTGCACCGCAAAAAGAAAAGGATGAGTTTTTCAGACTCCCAACATACAACTTTAAAAAACAAAAGTCACTGTACTGCTCCTCTAAACACAAGTGGACAAAAAAAAAAAAAAACATTACCCTTAAATACACTCAGATCATGGTCATTGGCTGTCTCATTCAGTTGTCTTGGAGCTGGGCTCAGTGCTTCGCTCTTTACGCAGAGCTTCTTTGGATTCTCAGCCATCCTGACCCTGAATGTCATTTGGCTAAAAATGTGAAGTCGGCAGCATCGATTTATACCCCCGGGTTGCTAAGGAGACCCTGAAAGGGATGGTATATTGGCTTGTACTTGGAGCGGCTCCTCCTGCTGTTGGATGTCAGCAACTACATCAGGTAACTATAGACTTCGGCGTCCAGAGTAACAAGACCCAAGATCTCCAGCAGCCGCAGGCAGGTGCGGGTCAGTCTCATAATGGCCATCTCAGACCTGAAGGGAGACAAACGGTTAAGTCTGGACTGGCCAATACAAACTAAAAAAGTAACAGATGATTGGTTGACCTGGTAGCATTACAATAAACATAGCAAAAACTCATTTTGGGTGTTTATTTACAGTTCTTGGCAGCAACTTTTTTTTTTTCTCTTGTTGCTTGTGGGTCTACAGTCTAAACCCCTGAATGTGTAGTTTTACAGCAATTTTATTTTTTTTTTGCATGGACTGAGCGTAGTCTCGTAAGGGTTAGATGAATTTAGGTCTGGATTTTGACTAGGCAATTCTGAATGCTATGATCTAAACCGGACGTGTCCCCACTGTAAATGTTGGGGACAACACAAACAGATGTAATTATCAGTCTTGCTTTCTCTTTGTTTAGAAATGTCTCACAACCACAGGCGGGGGCTGGAACATAGACAGACTACCTGTTGTTCATCGGCTTTTAAATTATTAGTTTTGGGTTCACCCAACACGTGATTTTCAAGGACGAGTGACCCAAGTCTTGTTCTTGATGAGAACAAAAAGATGCTCACCTCAAAGCCACTTGAAACTTGAAGCTCTCCCATGTCGACCTGCACCAGCGGATGATTCGTAACCTGGGCAGGATTCCTGTCTTATCCGCCTGAATCTTCCCCCAGCCTCGCACCGCGCTTCGAAGACAAAAAAAAAAGCCCCAGAGAACATCTTTACATGAATCCCTGTGCTTTTAGCTAGCATGTCATCCCAAGAAGAAGAACTTGTACACCCGTCTAACTCTTACCATTTGGCCATGACAAAGTAGCGGTCCACCGGGGCCCCCAGAGCGATGTTGATGCTCCGGACCGTGTTGATGTTCCGGAACACCAGCAGCATGGGCCGGGGCATGGACTTCAGCACCTGCATGATGCTCTCGAAGCGGTTGATGGCCATTTGTCTCATGTAGGCCGTCTCCTCCCGGCTCAGGATGTTGGACAGGGCTAGCGTCCGCATGTTGATGGGGCGCTGCAGCAGCATCTCGCAGAACAGGAAGTACTCTGCGAACACTCTCAAGTTACTCTCTGGCTTCGGTCGAAGCGCCAGAAGAGCTGAAAACCTTATCTTTAGTTACCTTTGACCCCCAGAGCATCGGAGTACGTCTTCATCCCCTCCTTGTCTCTCAGGACAGTAGCCCGCCACAGTTTACACAGAGCCTCCCTGTCTCTGAGGTCAGAGGTCACAGTTAGAGCCACATGCGTTTGATCAAAAGGATCAGTGGAACAGAATCAGGCCTTACGTTTCGCTGAGGAACTCGTACAAGCCGTGGTCCAACAGCACCAGCTCGGCCTTCTTATCTGGACCTTTCCTCACCAAAACTGCCAGAGGGAAAACAAACGCTCAGACCTCAGCTAGCTTTTTATGACATCACAGAAACGGTTTTGAATTTACGGATGTACGTTTTATGAATCTGAGCCTGTAAAATACCCAAATAACCTGACTCAGAGTAATGATGACTCAACTCGTTCCACGGTTCCTACCGACACAATACCTCCAATCCAAACCCTTCCAGATGGCTGGAAACCTTTTTCCAAACCTTTTTCTGAAATTAAATCACTCCAAGAAGGGGTTTGTTCTGGATAATTGTGTCTGGACACGTCTTGTCTGCACCACAATCCCAGCTCTGGGTCTCGTTATGTCAGAAGTGACGAACGGTTCGATCAGCAACAGTCGGGATGTACCAACCATTTCCGGGATGAGGGTCGGCGTGGATGAAGCCGGTGTAGAATATCTGCTCTGCAAATATTCGGATCAGTTTGTCAGCCGTCTGGAACGCAAACACATCAACGTCTCAGCAACGATTGACATCAAAAACCTCTATAGTCATATGGAGAGATCAGCTCACGTCTTTCAGACTTATTCCTTGCTGCTTGATTTCTTTCACGTTGTTGATTTTGCATCCGCTGCAAAACTCGGCCGTCAACACCCTCTGTTCCAGAAAAAAAAAAAAAATGCAATAAATGAAAACGGTGATGAAGGCGGGTTTTATTTTCTTTCTGTTTGATTAAAGAGCTTACTTTACTGGTTTGCTCCCAGAAGACCTTGGGAACAACAACAAAGTGGAAATGCTTCAGCTCCTCGGCGCACCTCTCTGAGTTTCTGGCTTCGTTCTCAAAGTCCAGCTCCTGAGCCAGAGTTGCCTTCAAGTCCTGCAGAAACCAAAGTGAGAACTGGCCAGCAGACAGAAGCAGCAGATCTCAGAGAAATTCAACCGTCTCTAGACCTTAAGGACCCATCGGAATCCAAAGCTGGGATGCATGAATTTGATTATATCCAGCAGGATCTCCAAAGTCCTGATGTCCCCGTCGAACCTGTCCCTCAGGTCAATGTACTGCACCTACGGGAGGGCAACGGGTGGTGCAAGATGTCGGGTCAGAAAGCTTACAGACAGATGACCCACAGTGTTCGTGCAGCTCACCTTCACCGCCACAGGAGTCCCGTCACAGAGCTCCGCCTTGTGAACTTGAGCCAAGCTGGCCGCCGCGATGGGCTCATAGTCGAAGGTCTTGAAAAGCTGCTCGGGGGTTTTGTTGAAGTCCTCCAGGAAGAGAGCGTCCACCTGGTCCAGACGTACACATTGAGCCCCTCTCCTGCAGAACTGGGAGTCCTGTTTGTGCGCCAGAAACTCACCTCCTTGAGCCTCCGGTTTAAGGCTTGGTCCTCCAAGACCTGCAGCGTGCGGATGTATTCGGGGGGCAGCAGGTGGTTGAAGGAACAGAGTCCTTGCCCCAGCTTAATGTACAGCCCTCCGTTCCTTACAGCTCCTTCCACTATGTAATCTGCTGCCCTCTGGTGGCAGGCTGACATCTCAGACAAGTAGGATGTGCTGCTCTGGCAGGGGGGGCAGGACGGAAGTGTTATTGACACTTGGCCTCTGAACAAAGACTCTTGAACCTTTTCACATGATCACGTTACAACGCAAGAATCAGTAGGATCTGTGACACACCAAACCAAGGTAGACCAATGTTTCTCTGCCTGACTTTCTAAATAATATCATTTACTTCTGAGATCAGTGGCAGAAGTAAATGAGGTGGATTAGCCCTACTTGCCAATGATGTCCCCCTGGACATAAGACTGTGACTCCTGTTTTGATGGAAGACTAAAATAGACCGTCATCGTTCACAACTTACTTTTGCTACCGTTTGCTGATTGGCCCGTTTGGAATTCTGCTGGGGAAATCTCACTCAAAGAGAGAAAGTCCAAACTGAGCGCGACGGAGAGGAGAATCGAGTGGAACCGCATAGGAAAGCTATGGCCAGGCCAGCTAGCACTGGAGTCATAACTGTTCTCAGTGCTGGTCAGGAGCAGGATTGCTGTGTCAAGGTTTGATGCAATGAAACCTTTGTTATGCTTCAGTGGTTCGGTACCTGATTCAATGGCTCATGTAGAAGTGAATCGCTAGTTCGACTTGCAGAGAGGAAACTTAAATAAGTAGCATCAAAGGCTGATGCAGTATATATAGAAACTGTTTTTATGTTTGCGCTGGTGCTAGGAGTTTTGTGTCCACGAATTGGCGAGTGACTGAACGTAGTGAGGATCTCTGAAGGGTTCTATGGACGTGATCAGACAGAACACGGCGTACTGCCATCGGTTATTATATGGCATGATTTTGAATGAGGATCTCGAGATCCCACCGTCCGAAGCTTTGAACAGCAGTGATCTCCGCGTGGATCTTACCTCATCCTTCCCGCGCAGAGCCACGTTGGTGGTCCACCAGTAATCCAGGGAGATGGAGATCCCTACAGAGAGAGACCTGGAGGCACGCACACACACACACACACACACACACACACACACACACACACACACACACCACACACACACACACACACACACACACACACACACACACACACACACGTCAGACGTCGCTTGTTATTTGGACGAGGGAATATTAAAACAAAGCAAAACAGAGATAGAGAGAAACACTTCTGGGTCACAAATGTAATTTTATTCTCCCAAAGCTCTACACCATCATTCTGCTGCTGGCTCTAACACCGGTTTGGACCCACTGAATATTATGTTAAGCAGAAGCTTATGATCGGGTCAAAGATGTTTTTTTTTTCTTTTGAATCAAAGCTAAGAACCCACCTGGTTAGAGTTCCCTTTGATTAGTAGACTGTCATGTTCGATGTATATTCACTTGGTGATTTTGTTTTTTTTACAAAATGGAACGCTTACTGCCCGTTTCACTATAACGTTTTCGTGTTGCTGCTGAAACGTGACACGCAGATAGACCAGAGTTCAGAATTTTCCGGCGCTAATCCAAACCTGGAAAAGCAGCAGGAAAACGTATTCCGTGATTCTTAAGACGGAGCGGGAACCCGGCGCGCAACAAACCTGCAGAAACGACCAAATCCCTCGACCGCAATCCTCATCCTCCTTCTCTGCTTCGGCTCTGCAGCGGCGTACTTCACGCCCGCCGCCAGGGGAAAACCCACAGAGAGACCGAGGAGGGTCTTCCAAAACAGACCCCTTCGCCTCGCCGGCCTGGAAACAGAACATACTTAACCAAGGAGAAGGACGTCCATCACGGACGGATTGCATCAGCGGGGCGTGAAGCGATACCTGACCACGCTGAGGGATCTGGTTGTTCGGCCACAGTGTGGATGTCTTCGCAGGAGAGCCAGATGACGATTGCATAATCTAAGCTACAGTGAAGACAAAGAATTTTCATCGTGTGACCAGGGCTGGTTGACGAGTCGCTGCGATCGATTGATTTGAATTTTTGGTTTCGAAGATTTGATTGTTTTGGAAAATGTGGGTCAACATTTGGGTGCATCTGGTCTTGATGCTGCTAAAAAAAATAATTTACTGTCGTTTGTCTCATTTTTGTTTTGCTTTGTGGTTTGTTTGTTTTTAGAAAGAATAAAAATATCAGAGACTTTATTTTTAAGCCATATTACCAACTATACATACAACTAAAAGGGGGTCTTTCTGGTTTCTGGTTATAACCAGGTGTGTGTGTGTGTGTGTGTGTGTGTGCGTGCGTGTGTGTGCGTGCATTCGCGTGTGTGTGTGTGATTGATGGCTGGTGACTGAAAGTGAACTGTGGACCCTGAGTAGGGTCTATCTGAGCAGACCCATGTGTGTGTTTTGCATGCTGGGAAGGATGCAGAGGGGGGCGGAGTGGGATGGGGGGGGGGGGGAGACTCCCACCAAGGCCAGAACTGTTGTTTTTGTTCGCCGTCTGCATGTGAGGGACAGAATGTCTCCACCGCTGACAAATTGACACCCAGATAACGGGGATGTCAGTGACCTGGGCTCGGACATGAACGCAACACGGGGCTCCTTCTGCAGAAGGAGGGCGATTCTGCAGGAGGACCGCGGCCAACACGCAGAGGACAAAGTCAGGCGTTCACTGACGGGAGGACAAGGGAACCGCTCGGAATTGTTTGCACATGAAAAAGCTTTGATATTCTCCGGTGATTTGAATGGGAAAGCTGTCATAAGAGGAAAAACGTGACGGTGAGCGATGATTAGCTGTTAGTCGACTAGCCGACCTCAAAAAATAACCCTGTTGGACTGTGTTAAAACAAAGAAATAATAGGCTTTATTTACCACTCTCGAGGTTTCCCCTGTCATGGTTCCCCGCAGTGATTTGCAGCAGAGGCGAGTAGCGGCCGCAGGTTTGCCCTCCAGCCAGCCGCAGCACCTCATTTGGCTACTAGCATAATGGTCGCTTCAAAGAGCAGCCTCTGCGGCGAGTCCAAGATGGAGTTCGCCCGTCTACTTCCGTCTCCGTCTCGTCTAGAGAACTGCTGGCGAGAAGTCAAGCGTCTCTCCAGTGTGACTCCGGGTTCCAGGCGTTGCTGACGTATTTCCGTTATCCCGAGACGCTCGCGCCTGACTGGAGAGAAGGTGGTTCCGTCAACGCACGTAACAACTGTGAAGACAAGTTGAAAAACCCTAATTGAAATAATCTGAAAACGTGTAAAAACAGTAGCTCCTTTAAGAAACGTAGATTTATCTCATAAGCGGATCCCTTTGCTATGTTTTATTTTTCCTTTTTTGTTGTTGTAACAGATCCTTTATGATGTGTATTCGAGTGTGTTTTTGGACATTTGTACATAAATAATAATCGGAATAAAGTACGTTTTTTGAAGGAAAAAAGGGTGGTTTCGTCAAACTTGAAAGTCAAGCAGTTAAATCCAACTGTATAAGAAGACATTTTAACATTTAATAACAGGACATGTGTAACCGGGTTCTGCTTCACTCCACTGTACCAGGCCGACCCAAGTAACCCCTCGACTCTGCGTTGTGTAGATGTTTTAATGAAGACCAGGAGTTCTGGGTGAACAGGCAGTTCATTTCCTGAATGAGAACAGATCGGGTTGGAATCAATGCAATGGCTCAGCTTCCCTCAGCACACTACAACAGAGCGTCATGTTGGCTTTAACTTAGCACAGAAAGTGTTTTACAATATGAACAAAACTAAAAGTGCAAAATTGGTGCCAGGCACACAAATCATAAATAGTAGTTGCACACTATTGATGTCAGTTATTAAAAATGATATTTTATGTGTTTCTAACACTTTTCCGTGCTGTGTGCTGAGGAATGAAACTCACCTCTCGTGCAGCTTCCATAGACTGGCACTGATTACAGGGGCCAGCAACATATAACCAGCCACACAGAGAGGAGGGCGCTTTTTCCCATTGCACTGATAATATATAAAGCAAGTGGGATTCTACAACATAAACTCTGTTACACATGGATCTCAGATTTCTTATAAATCAATTCCCCTGAGTACAAAATTTACATTTGAGACATCTGCCATTGTAAATTCAATTCAACTGAATTCAATTCACTAATATCTAATAGTATTCATATTAAATTATTATCTATTCTATTTTGTTTCTGTACACCTGGAAACAAGTTGTGATTTTTTTTCCCGAAAGTGCCTTCAGGTAACATTTGTTTTCACTCTGTAAATAAACTCATTTCCATTGTATCTTTAGTAATGAACCGGGACGCGCTCAGCCAGGACGTGACGCGGTTCACACAGGGAACTATCTCGAAAGCCTACTCTTTGGTGGGAGATTTCACAATAAAACGTCATTAAACGGAGGTGCGTGAGGGGCACGTGCCCTTGTTGCGACACGGCAATGACTTTAGGTTTATGCCTCCCTCTCCTTTACTTCGCAAAACCAAATTTACTGAAGATTATCATAACCTTCAGCAATAATAATAGCAGTGTATCAGTAATCCGCTCCAACTTCACCATGACAGGTTATTTGCACGTTGTTTATATTGAACTAAAGCCCATGGCAGCAATTTTGACTCAAACCGTTTGAGCAACAGACGCCATGGTGGTGGAAATGAAAGGATTTAAATATCGCAAATATATTTATGTAGCTTCCAAATTACAAAACAAAACAAAAAACCCCAAAACATTTAAAAACCCGCTTCTGCATACATTTATTAATTTATGGTTTCTTTGTCGATGACAGTATTTAGAGTTGCATACTGATCAGAGGAGTGATTTATGGAAAATAGTTTCAACGAAACCGATTATGCGCGCATTCACGTCTGCTTTTATTTTGAAGAGTATTGTCTTGTTTACGCCGCCCGTCCACCGGAAGCTCTGCGACCCGTGTCGCTGCAGCGTTGCGCTTTCCTGTTTACGAGCGGGAAGAGCGAACGGAGCTTCGCCGTGTTCACTTTCAGGGGTTTATAATCGCCTGCACATTTGTTTTTAGCTGTCTTCGAGAGCGGCGGTCCGCGTGTTTTAATGAGCCACTCGGCACTGTGGGGAGTTTAGATACGTTGTAGGCGGAGCACTGGTGAAAACAAGAGGTGTTTTTGGAGCGGAGTGGGACAGATGGAGGGTCCTCCAGCAGATCCTAGCGGCGGTGGTGGTGCAGCAGCTGCCGCAGCGGAGGGCCCCACGGTGCAGGTGGCGGACATGCGCCGGCCAAGCGGAGCTCTTCCTCTCCGGCTCCTGGAGTGGAAGGTCAAGCCGGGGTCTCGCGTGAACGTGAACTCGGTTCTTGCCTTATGTGCTCTCATAACTCAGGATAAGGATAAGGAGACGGAGGCTGAAGCTAGTCTACCAGAGAAGAAGGTGAAATCGGACCGTCCTGGAGTGGTGAGAGAGCTCTGCTGTCAGCCAGGACAAATAATTCCTCCCGGGTGAGTTACTGACTCTTCCTGCTAATTTTAGCTCATGTTAGTTGACCTGCACGGCAAGGCTACGGGCAGTATGTCAGCTGCATCTCCCGACAACACCCTGTTAAACACGGCTGTTAGCTTAGAAGCTAACAATGCTAACTTGCTTTTAGCCCATCGTCCACTGTCAGTAAAGGCGGCACAAATGAAGAGCCTTTTAACTGCAACCTTCAAAGTAAAAGCATTGTATTTGAACAAAATGTCACAAATCCTCACTAGACCTTTTAACTATCATATTAGAGATGATACGGTTTAAGTAGAATGTACTCAAGTAAGCAAACCACTGCGTGGACTCTTGTTGACATAAATGAGTACTATGTTCGCTTTTATTTTGAAAAGCAAACCAGATGTGGCGCTGTCTCGCGTTGCCGTGGCTTGACCTGACAACCCGGGAGCGTGTCGGAGCTGAGGAGGTTGACAGGTGGAAGGCAAGCTAGAGTCTAACCGAGTGGGCTCAAACCGGACGTTTCCCGCCGTTTTTTTTTTTTTCATGTTACAAAGTCATTCGGATTTCAACATCGTCTGCCTAAAATACCTCAGGGAAATTATTACGGGAAAATATTTATTCACCTGTGATTTTAATTGCATTTCTTATTTAACAGAAACGCAGACATCGCAGAATTGTGTTTTGTTGGGACATCAGAGGAATATTGCGAAATCCTTGCGCACATTTGTAACGGAAATGCAGCTTGTACGGTCTTATGTAATATTCAAACCATCTGAGAAACTAAACTGTAATAAAATGTAGCAACATGTTGAATTAAAATATGTGAGTTCCACGTTTGTTTGATTTTTTTTTTCATTAAAAAACTGAAATAAATGAACTTGAATACTGTAACTTAATCTGTATTTTAGAAGTCCATAATATGTAAAACAAAAAAAAGGCCATTGCTTAAAAAATAAAATAATTGATTAATTTAATGCGTTTTGAAAAATTAGTTGCACATTACGTAGATAATGTGATAGAATTCACATTTCTTCCAAACAAACAGGGGCCCTACAAAGCATGCAGCAGATTCGACAAGGTTGGTAGTCATTGACAAAGATGAAGTGAAAATGAAAAAGTCCCAAGTGGATAAAGTAAGTACACCCAACAGTGGAGGGCCACCTTCAGTGGCAGGGCTTTTCTTTATCAGTCTCTTCCATTGTTGTGGTGGAATTTGACCTCTTTCATCTTTACGAGGTCGTTTGGGTTCATGGAGGTCCTCAGACCTTTGCTAATGCAAAACTCTGTCGAACCACCAGCACAGAGTTTTGAGTCTGATTGAGGTCTGGACTTTGCACCTTTTCCATTATTTTGTGTTGCGGTCAGTTGGTTGTGGACAATGAGGTTCCTTTTTCTTTATTTTGCAACAAGGCTCAGTTTGGAGCTCCTATTAGTCCATTTTTCACACAAACTCAAGTGAAACACAAGGACTTCCATTTTTGGAACAAAGATTATAAAATCAAATAAAAAAACAAAAAAAACAAAATGTAAGTACAATCTTTCCAAATATCTTGAGCCGTCTGTGTCTTAACCGTTGAGGATTGGTCTGGTCAAATAAATATTTAAATGTTTAATTGGCAAATAAAGCTGGTGATCGTCAGCGTACAGAAATACCCAGAACTGTCCAGTGTTTCTGCAACAAAAATGTGACTGTTTTAATCTACATTTAACAAATGTCACACATTTGTTTTTGTCTTGTCTCCAGGGGCGTCATTGTCAGAATCGAAGAATGCAGCCATCCAATAGTGATGAAGTGTCTGTGCGCTGAATGTGGCCAGAATCTGACTCAGTAAGGTTCTTTTCTGCATTTGAGGAGAAACTGGTTGCTGATTCTACAGCGATGTAGCGTTTCAGTCCCCGAGCGTCGGAATGGATTGTGTCACATAATGCCACGAAGTGACATCAGACATGACGATAGAGTTAGTTATCCAGAAATAACCCGTGTTGCAGCATATTACTGTAAAATTTAAAAAACTTCTGCTCATCATCGGGTCGTAATTATTTTTATGTGCTAAGTGGTTTAGCATTAGCTTCGGCTGATTATTACATGTATAGCAGGTCAGCGTTAAGTTCTATTTGTGTTGTTGTTGTTTTTTTTTTTTTGTTTGGTTTTAACACTAGCTTTCAAAAAGTTGTTTTACAGTATTTGCTAATTTCTTTTTGTTTACTGCTAGCAGGGCTAAGATTCTTCCTTATCAAATTAGTAGTCAGTGGAAGGAACTTTTTGACTAGTTGTGTCCACCACTGGCAATGACTGCTGGCTATCTAAGTCCGAACAAATGTTCTTCATTAACGAAAATGTCCATCAGAAAAAGGAAGCACAATATCAAGGAAATATATGTAGGTTTTATGACTCAAAAACTATGTAGGCCTTGATTTGACACCAAACACATTCACGTTCAGTTGGCGATTTTAGCGCAAAACCATCACAACCCTCGTGGCCATCTTGAAAAATCAATAACTTCTCAGTAAATATGATTTTTATGGTATCTATCATGTATAATTTAGGACCAAAAGTATTAATCTCTGAAAAATATTTGCAATATTAGTTTGTACCTTGGCGACCATGTTGAATGTTTCAGTTGCTCACG